GCAGCCTCGCACCGAGGACCTATCCACAACATCATTTACCCAGAATGCTTTGTGTGAAAATAAAATGGCCCCGACCATATAATATGTTTTTTAACTTTTAGTTTAAAAATTATAAAAATTAAACAGCCTACAGTATTTTTACAGTCTTTATTTTACAGTTAAAATACACGTTTATCAAATAAAGTCTAAGGTTACAACTAGTCGGGGATCCCTTTAAAGTGTCCGTGACATGCATATTCTTCAAATACAAAAAAGTCAAAGAAAAAATCTTTACATTTAAGAAAGCTGGAATAACACACACGATTTAACTCATTTTGTCCCATAACTGACATATTTTCTTTTAAACTTGGCTCAGACAATGTGAAACATGAAGTGACATCAAAGAGGAACTCTTTAACAAGGAAAACTCTGGTCTTTGTTTATTGAAACAATATTATTTGAACTCTGACTCTTCTTCATCTCTGATAGTGACTCAAAATAATCTTAAGTAACATCAGATTCTTCTCTACAGTCTGGGTTGTTGGCTGTTGGAGCAACGCTCTGTTCACATGCAGACATTCCCCTTTGACATCACTTCCTGTTGCTTCACATGCAAATATCTCAACAACTGTTCATCTCAGCAACATTGAATTTATTTTACAATATTTTATCAGTGTCCTCTTTCTAAAAATACATTCATATGTATTACAAAGATTCGACACCACAGGCACTTTAAAGGACGAGCAGCTGAGAAGCTCAGGTTCCCGATGGTTTGTGACGACATCAGAAGTTCCTCAAAGGAAAGCATATCGGCTGCTGGTTTTCAAAGTTTTAATCAAAGTTTGATCGAACTTTTAAAAGTATCTGATATCATGAGATGCCAATAATTTCCAGCTACTACCACACCATGTTTGAACTGAATCTGTCAAACAACTAAAACCACACTCTAACACATTTTAGTTTAAAACTTAGGGTTAAAAAAAGCAGATTTCCATAAAGGTTACTCAACTACGGAACAGATCTTTTATCTTTGGCTAATTTGGGAAAAGTATGTCGAACCGAACAAGCCACTCTACCATACTTTAGTGTGGGCAATCATGAAACATAGGCTGAGGTTCACCAAAGAGTCCATGACCATCATCATGATTCCTTCCTAATGCAGACCTAGAGGAAGAAACTGAAATGGTTTTATCACGTAGAGAGGGCCAGGGGAGCTCTGTCAAACTTGATTTAAAAACTAAAAACACCATCCTGGTGAGGATCAGCCAACATGAGAGGGGGGTCTCTGCAGTCACTGAGTGTGAGTTTCTTGTTGTATGTGAGGAGTTTGTCCAAGACATGATTGGTCTGTTTGACTTTTATGGTTGTAATTTGTTAAAGACAGGATTGGTTGTATTGACTACTTTGGTTGGGGTTCGAAGAACGCTGGGCAGCTGGGGGAAGTGTAACACCGTCGAGACATCCAGAAAGCACCTTTATTTTTAAACAGAAATATTAGTTTTAGTCATCTTGCGAGACATGAAGGTGCTAATCGCACAAAATCTGAAGTCAATAAATTCTATTTCACAATGTTCAAAATAATTTTACTAATAAATTACTTCCTTGTTTAACTTGCTCACAAGACAAGCCAATCTGACAAATCACAGTTAGAACAAACTCTGCCCACACCAAAGAACTCCACCAATCGCTGTTAGGATAAACTCCGCCCACGCAGACCAGAAACTCACCCTACTACACCACAGAGGCGTGTCTAGAGTTTTTCTTTTTTTTCCTTTTTTTTAGGGGGGGGCGCAGGCAAGGGCACAGACTTTAGAAGGTGGCACTGTAAAATTGCTATTTGATCTAAATTCCCTGCAGTCTTGTTGCAATGAAAAGTATGCCAAAATTTGAACAATAATAACATTGGTTTATCATTATATAACACATGGATATGTTTCGCAAGCGTGAACTACACAAATTAAAAAATCAGGGACATCCAGAACAAAAATAGAAATTTGGATACATCGCAATCTCACCAAAGGCAGTCTGCCTGTGCTTTCAGTGTTATTTAATTGCATTAAAGTAGAATTACAAGAATTTCTGCAAATTATTTACAATATTCAAGGATTGTGACCGCTGTGTATGTTTTTACGCTAACAAAGTGATTGACAGCTCTAGTGAGGGTGGCCATGTCCCTGCTTGGCCAAGGTGGAGGTTGCTGGTGAGTGATTGTTGTACTGCCCCCACATTAATAGGCTGAGGCAGGAGTGTCCAACCCTGGTCCTCAAAGGCCATGTTTCCCTGCTCCAACAACACACCTAATTCAGTGATGGAATTACCTATTTAAATTCTGCAGTAACCTGTGTTAGACCTGATTAACCTCTAAAACATGTATATTAGTACTCTGCAAGAACCAGGACTGGACACCACTGGGCTAAGGCACTAATGATGATTTGTTGAAGTGACAAACTTCAACATTTTGTGCTTTTATGGTCAGTTGGCTGTGGCAGCCATCTTGAAGTGGATCGACTCTAATCAGTTGTAGACATACATTTAAGGATTACTTAGTGGTTCATGAGATATTTTGGTAATAGTCAGGCAAATACCAACAAACACAATGATAGAGGCAAACAATATATTTCACCGTCACCTTTCCTTGGCAAGCAATGAAATAACTTGAAAAAACTAAAAATGCATGGAAGCTATGTTTGTCAGGATTCACCTGGACTTCAGTAAGAATTCAGAACCACATCACCGTATTAATCTTGACATCTCTGCAGGTAAAACTGAGGTGTCAGAAGGGAATTCCAGACTCGCTCCGAGCAAAGTGCTGGCCACTGCTGTGTGGAGCCAACGACCGGATGAGACAAAACAAAAACCTCTATGAGGCAAGAACCCTCAAACTCTCAACCCTGTCCACAGGATTCCTATTTCCCTACTATATAAATTGTTACTGTGTACTAATTACTAACATTTATTTTAGTCTTTAGATTCACAACCAGGTCTTCAGAGCTGGGTGGATATAATTGAGCGAGATCTGGACCGACAGTTCCCCTTCCATGAAATGTTCCTGTCCAAAGACGGACACGGGTAGGCAAGGTTTCTGCAGCTGCTTTATTCTACCTCTACAGGTAGACTATTTTCAGTCCTCGTCTTTTTTCCCCTCTCTTTGAAGGCTGCTTCTCTGTGAAAATATCTTTGTAGACTTTAAATAGTCTCCTGATCTGTGCGTTCTTGTGTGATTAATTACTGTGGTATGTGTGTGTGTGTGTGTGCAGACAGCGGGGTTTGTTCCGGGTGTTGAAAGCCTACACTCAGTTCCAGCCAGAGGAGGGTTACTGTCAGGCCCAGGGCCCGGTGGCTGCCGTGCTTCTCATGAACATGCCTGCTGAGGTAGGTTGCTGAGGTTGCTCTGGTAATTAACAGCTATGGTTGTTAAAGTGTAGATATTTTTATTACATCCTTGGTTTTAATAGATCAAGAACAAGAATGAAGGGTGAAATTTAGTCCTGAAATGGTTTACAGTAGGATGCTTACATAAAAAATGTATACCCACAAATTAAAATACGACTACCACAGAGAAAAATATGAAGATGGCCATTCAGTGGCCTTATTTTCACAGATTTTTTTTACAGTTTTGAATACTTGTGTATTGCTATTTATATTAGATACAATGCAAACAATATGAACAATACAACATAAATGACACAAAGTGATACAATACAAACAATATATGATGCAATACCAATAATATGATAAAACATAATATGATGCAACACGAAAGATACAACATTGTACAACATAAGCAATGCAATATGATACAACATAGTATGTACAACATGGTACAATATGAATATGAGAAAATACAACACTAACAATACAACATAATACAATATGAAAAGATACAACACCAACAATACAACATAATATGAAAGATACAAGAAGATTCGACACTAACAATACAACATAATACCATACGAACGATACAAGATACAACACGGTACAATATGAAAGATACAAGAAGATACAACACTAACAATACAACATAATACCATACGAACGATACAAGATACAACACTAACAACACAACATGGTACAATATGAACAATACAAGATACAACACGGTACAATATGAAAGATACAAGAAGATACAACACTAACAATACAACATAATACCATACGAACGATACAAGATACAACACGGTACAATATGAAAGATACAAGAAGATACAACACTAACAATACAAMGTGGTACAATACGAACGACAAGATACAACACTAACAATACAACATAAAAACACTAACAATATAACATGGTACAATACGAGAATATACAAAGGATACAATATGATAGGAACTGTACAATATGATACAATACTAACAATACAATAAACAATACAAAATGATACAATATGATATAACACTAATTCACGCTGCACAATAAAATACAAAACTAATTGGTAAAATATATATGATACAAGCTACGTTATTTTCCACTTGTAGCAACATGTTTGTACAAAATATTGTTCAAGACAGTGTGATGCTTGGACTTTTTCTGTGTAGAAACATAGTCATACTTTGCTGACATCCTGTACCTGATGATGCTCTTCAGCACAACTTGATAAAAGAAAAACTCTATTTTATGATTATCTGTATTGTTAAATTCTGCTGTCTCATAGCTTACACACATTTTCAGGCCTGTAATGAGTTTGTTTGATATATTGAATCTTGTTTACAGGAAGCATTCTGGTGTTTAGTTCAGATCAGTGAGCAGTACCTGCCTGGATACTACAGCCCTTCGCTGGTGAGCACACAACCCTTTCACACACAAAAAATAAGTTTACATGCATGCTGGTAAATTTAGTCTGGAGGGGTTGGTTTTGTTTGTGGTCAACTATGGCTATAAACAAAAGAGACCTGTGGTTTCAGTGTGTGCAGATTGTCTTTCTGAGCCTGCAGCTTGTGTGTGTCATGTTCTGTTGAGTGTAGGAGGGAGTCCTGTTCGATGCAACCATCCTGGCCTGGGTTCTGAAAAAGACATGTCCAGCTGCACACAAACATCTGCAGCAGCACGGCGTGGAGCCTCTCATGTTCGCCACCGACTGGCTGATGTGTCTATTCACGCGTCACCTGCCCTTCAACACACTTATACGAGTCTGGGACCTCTTTTTTTGCTATGGTGCGTCTGTTTTTTTTTTAAGTCAAAGGTGAAGTAAAACAGAGGAGACAGTCATATCTACAGTCGTTCTGCTCAGCTCTGTTCTTGTGTGAAACAGTTTCATGGTTTCCTGCTCCTCTCTGTTGCACAGGTGTGCGGGTGCTGCTTCAGGTGGCGGTGGTGCTCGTCCGTCGGGTCCTGGGTCGGGCCGAGCAAAGGAAAGAGTGTGTGGGACAGATGGAGACTTTGGAGAAGCTGAGGGGGGTAAAAGCCCAGGTCCAGGATGAAGAGGACGCTTTCATAGATGAGGTGAATTTGACAAGAACACATAAAAAAAAATCTAGAAGAAAACTCATACTCAAGACATAAATATTAAAGAAATATATAACATAAATCACATTTTTAATCAACATCTCAATATTTTCACAACATATCTAGTATAGTTTAGGTAAAACAAAGCAACATTTCAGTGACAGCTGAACTCAACTCAGAGAAACATTTAAAGAACTACATGAATGAATCAACACGTAAACATAGAGAAACTTTTTTATACAATAAATCCAAAGAATAAAAAGATAAACTTGTTTTAATTTTAAAAATAAGTTTAACTACCGTAATTATCCTTTGGGAATCAATTAAATATATTTCTGTTACCATACTTCCATAAAAATACTTAAATTCACTTTTATCTCATGACTTTATATTTCTAAACAGGTGGATGTTTTGTTTTAAATAATATTTTCAATAATGAACAATTAAAGAACATTTTCAGGCCAATTTTCATT